CTGTGATACTTTTTTCTTTGATTCTTTGATTAATAAAATCTTAAAAAGAACAGCATTATAGCAATATAAGTTGTTACTATCACTTTTTATCCATTTAACACATTTCCATTTTGAATAAACACTGTTCTTTTAAACGTTTTATTTATCAAAGAATCCTGAAAAAATATCACAGGTCCCCAAAAAATATGAAGCAGCACAACAGTTCCAACACTGATAATAATCAGAAATGTTTCTTGAGCAGCAAATCAGCATATTAGAATGATTTCTGAAGATCATGTGACACTGAAGACTGGAGTAATGATGCTGAAAATACAGCTGCGCATCACAGAAATAAATTACAGTTTAACAGAGATTCATATAGAAAACTTTTATTTTAAATTGCAATAATATTTGACTATTATTTTGTGATATAATATTCAATATTTTTATCAAATAGATACAGACTTGATAAGCATAAGAAACTCCTTTAATAAACATTATTGATCCCAAACTTTTGAATGGCAGTGTATTATACTGTAAAAAAAAAAGTTCTCAGGTAACCTAAATGTACATCATTTAATCACGGGTCGAATTAAATACAAATAGCACATTAAAGTTAAAAGTTACACACTTGTTTTGTGTGCGCGCTGTGTAGGTCTGGTATAAAGAATGTTTTTGCTCAGGTGTCCAACAAACTAGTGATGTGTCGTTCGCGAACCAGCCGTCTCTAAGAGCCGATTCTTTGTAGCGAATCCCGTCGGGGAGAGCCGAATCTTCAGCTGGAGCCTTCTATTTTAGGACAATTTAGCAATTGCAAATGGTTTGTGTGATAGGAAGCAATTTTTTTTGTGTTTTCATTAATGCCTTATTTTTATGCATTTTTTCGCTACAAAAAAAAAATAAAAATACACATGCGGCTAATCACATGGGAGGATAGACTAGGATCATACCATTATGTGAAAGGAATGGGGACACGCTCTGAAGACAGCGAGTGCAGTGGTACAGGCCAGATACACAGCGACAGAGAGACGGGAGCCGGATTTAAACGCAAGCGCGTTGGTTAAAGTAACGGTAGGAAGACACTGCATTGTTACAACATCTGTCCCTCAGAGTCTTCTCAAAAACAGGATAAATAATCAGTGGAGAAATCGCATCAGCACATCCAAGCTGAGGCATCTGATATTTCTGAATGCCAAACTGCACTGAAGACTAGTGTTATTAGTTTTATTAAAATGTTAAATAGTATCAGTGCATTTAATTTTTTTAGAAGAAAAAATGCATAAAAATACAGCTTTTATGAAAAAAACTGAAAAAAAAAAAAAAAAACCCTTCACAATTAATGAATTGGGCTAAAATAGAAGGCTCCGAGTAATAAATAATCAGCCATTTGGGAGCCGTAAGAACTAGCTCTTCTGAGAGCCGAATCTTTGAAAAAAAGAGCCGAACTTTCCATCACGAAAACAAACGCCGTTATGAAACTAAGAGACTACTAGAACATTGCTGTATTTTAAGAAAAACTAAGACTGGTTGGAAGTTACAAACGCTCTTCACAATTAAAGTGTCTTTCAGTGAGAAGATGGGTGGCTCTTAAAAGAGCCTTTGTGTGTGTGCGCTGCAGCGGAGCTCTACTTGGAGCTGGTGTACTTGGTGACGGCCTTGGTGCCCTCAGACACGGCGTGCTTGGCCAGCTCCCCGGGCAGCAGCAGACGCACGGCGGTCTGGATCTCTCGGGAAGTGATGGTGGAGCGCTTGTTGTAGTGAGCGAGACGAGACGCTTCACCGGCGATGCGCTCGAAGATGTCGTTGACGAAAGAGTTCATGATGCCCATCGCCTTCGAAGAGATCCCGGTGTCAGGATGAACCTGCTTCAGCACTTTGTAGACGTAGATGGCGTAGCTCTCCTTCCTGCTCTTCCTGCGCTTCTTTCCTCCCTTCGCTGCGGTCTTAGTGACGGCCTTCTTGGAACCCTTCTTAGGCGCGGACTTTGCTGGTTCAGGCATGATGCTGTTGCGAAATCAAACCTCACAAGACGATAATTAGAACGAGCGAGACAGAGGCATTTATTCACTAATCTATGCTAATTATCACAGAGATGTGGACGCTTCTGATTGCGTGTTTTCACAGACTAAACCCATAAACCCGTGTGTGATTGGACAACTCGAAGTATCACGAGCGGAACGAGGGCCAATCACAGGCGGTGAAATGATAGCCCCGCCCACCGCTCAGTGTTTGAAAATCAGCCCACGTTTCCTTTGTTTCAATTCCCGCTCTTTTTGTTTTGTTATATTCTATACAAAACAAATCCGTCTTAAATATCACAGCATAAATATCAAACAGTGTAATTTGTATATATATATAAATTGGAGATAATTTGGAGAAAGGAGAGCAATACCGATTAGACACTTTCTTTATTCTCTTCTGTTGTTCTGCCAATTTAATTTATAATTTATAAACCACTTTAATCCAAAGGAAGGCTAAACAAGCAAAAGAAAATGACAGGAGACGTAGATCGCGTAGCTCTCCTTCCTGCTTTTTCTGCGCTTCTTTCCTCCCTTCGCTGCGGTCTTAGTGACGGCCTTCTTGGAACCCTTCTTAGGCGCGGACTTTGCTGGTTCAGGCATGATGCTGTTGCGAAATCAAACCTCACAAGACGATAATTAGAACGAGCGAGACAGAGGCATTTATTCACTAATCTATGCTAATTATCACAGAGATGTGGACGCTTCTGATTGCGTGTTTTCACAGACTAAACCCATAAACCCGTGTGTGATTGGACAACTCGAAGTATCACGAGCGGAACGAGGGCCAATCACAGGCGGTGAAATGATAGCCCCGCCCACCGCTCCGTGTTTGAAGACATCAGCCCGCGTTTCCTTTGTTTCAATTCCCGCTCTTTTTGTTCGTTTTATTCTATACAAGAAATGCGTCTCAAATATCACACAGGATCAATATAAAACAGTGTAATCTATAAAATCCCTAATAAACCAACTGAGAGAATCTGGAGAAAGGAAAACAACGATTAGACCGTTTTTATTGTCCTCATTTGTCCTGCCAATTTCCCTTATTTTCTAACTAAAGCGTCATTGCCATCTGATTGTATTTTCTCTTTATTTTATTAAATTAATTCAAAGGAAAGGCTAAACAAGCAAATGAGAATGACATGTAAGAAAAAAAAGACATATGCTCTCATTATGCACGCCTCCGACAGCAAAATGTAACATTATAGGAGCTCCAATTTTGAGAATTAAAATCAGAATCAGGAGAAAGATCTTTATTGCCGGGTGTTTACACCTTTATACAGTCTATGGTTTACACACACGAAGAATGCGTTTTAGTGACAGAAGCTTTCACAGCACACAGAAAACCAGAGACAGACAATAAACACAGAATAACTAGTTTTACATTAATGTACTCACATTCTCGTGAAATACTCACCAGCATTTAACTTTCCTTTTTCAAACGGATTCATTCATGAGTGTTTTAGAGTTCATTTTCACAAACATAAAACAAACAAAACTTCAACTTTGTCTCTTTATGTGAGCGCGTGGGTGGCTCTTAAAAGAGCCGTTGGGTTCGTGGTTTAAAGGCGTTTATCCTCCGAAGCCGTACAAGGTGCGTCCCTGTCGCTTCAGCGCGTACACCACGTCCATGGCGGTGACGGTCTTTCTCTTGGCGTGCTCGGTGTAGGTGACGGCGTCGCGGATCACGTTCTCCAGGAACACCTTCAGCACACCGCGGGTCTCCTCGTAGATCAGACCGGAGATGCGCTTGACGCCGCCGCGGCGCGCCAGACGACGAATGGCGGGTTTGGTGATTCCCTGGATGTTATCCCGCAGCACTTTACGGTGCCGCTTAGCGCCTCCTTTCCCGAGTCCTTTACCGCCTTTGCCTCTCCCAGACATGCTGAAAATACTTCTCGCTTCAGTCTAGCAACGAAACCGAATAAAAGACAAGAGCTCCAGGGAGGCCGTTTACAGTTGCTTACAGGACCTAAGTGAAACCAGCGCGCGTCACATGGCGCACCCCTCCCCCGCTAGTTAGAGCAGGACAAAATGAGGTTTAATCCAAACCTGATCTAACAGTGTCTGTCCTGTGTTTCATATTAAAATCCATGTTTTAGTTTTAAAACATTAGTTTGACAAATATTTATAAGATCATATCTGCATAATATTTACAGACAAGATGATTGGCAGATGCCTTTAACCAAACTGACTTGCATATCAGCAGAGCTGCAGGAACACACCAAATAAATAGAGCTACAGATGTCTTATCACACATTAAATCAGTGGTCCTACTATAGTTGGCTGTAATATATACACATGCGTATTAGATGTATTATTAGATGTATGGTAATTTTAGTTTAGTATTTACCTACAGAAGTGTGTCATTGCACATCCACTTTATTTGGGGGAAGTCGTGGTCTAATGGTTAGAGTCGGACTCGTAACGCAAAGGTTTTGGGTTCGAGTCTCGTACCGGCAGGGATTGTAGGTGGGGGGAGTGAATGTACAGCGCTCTCTTCCACCTTCAATACCACGACTGAGGTGCCCTTGAGCAAGGCACCGAACCCCCAACTGCTCCCCGGGCACCGCAGCAAAAAAATGGCTGC